TCTCTCTCTCCAACTGACAAACTGATAAAATGCTTAGTCACTCAGTTTGTGTGTGCCTCTGTTTTGCTAACTCACGCAGATGGGCTGAGGATAAATATCTTACAAGATTACACTGCACACAGATGGTGACAGTGGGAGGGATGCTTTGGATTGGAAAGATTTGAGTTCTTGAGTAGCTGAAACTTGAACTCTGAGAGTAATCCTCACAAAAGGAGGAAATGTAGAGATACAAAAAGTTTTGCTAGAAAGGATCCCTTCTTATGCTCATGCTGTTTCTAATGGGTTAATAACCAAAAATAGTAAGGATTGTGTTTGTTATTTTTAATTTTTTTTTGAATGGTCACATTTCAGATTATGTTCGTGTTATGGATATGGGACTGCTGGAACTAACCATTACAACAGTAAAATGTGACTCTGATGGAGAAAGAGTAAGTATGAGAGGTGATGATGTGAAAATTACTTGTTATACTTGGATTCAAGGAGGGCTTTTCAGTTTACTCGTGCAGTTTTTGTAAGCCCTTTTTGACTAGTGAAGTAAATTAATTTAAAGACAACTGTTTCGATGCTATTTTTGTGGAACCTTAGGATGATTTGAAATGTATTCTTATCTTCTTATTGTTGCTGTCTAGACTAAACCACGTTTTGAGCTGCACTGCTCCAGTGATGTGATCCATATTCGAACCTGCTCGGATTCCTGTGCTGCACTAATGAATCTCATACAATACATTGCAAGTTATGGTGATTTACATCCACCCACTAAGACAGAGGTTAAACGTGGAGTTAGCAAGCCAAAAATGAAGGTATAACATGGCAAAATAATACCAACTTAACTTTATGCTTCTTGGTATTATATTTTGAATTTTAATTTGATTTATTTCCAAATAATACGAGATTTCCTGCAAAGAAGTTAATTGGTATTATATTTTGAATTTTAATTTGTTTTATTTCCAAATAATGCGAGATTTCCTGCAAAGAAGTTACGATTGTATCTAATGTAAGATATATTTAAGAGTAAAATAATGGAATTTTTTTCTGCTTTGGTCACTAAGTATTTTAAAATATCTTGTGCTCTTTACCTGTTGTTCTTTATTCTAATTTAAAGAAGGAAATTGCAGGACATATGAGCTGTCCAGGTACTCTGATGGCCTAAATACTGTGAACCATAATCTTTTAACCTACTTTGTGAATCATCTAGCTTGGAATTTCAGCTCACCTGATTATTTGTCAAGTTAAGATGTTTATTCTTACAGTTTAAGAGCTGTGAATCAAGCTGTTCTAGCCAAATCTTTTTCAATGTATCTTGCAGTTGTCTGTAAGATGTAACTATGTATAGTTCCTCTCCTACAGGTAGAGACCTTTAGCCAACCATCCTCCCATGGGCCAGTTCTTGCTGAATCAGAGCAACAGATTTTACGGGATTTGATGAGTGATGCAATGGAGGAAATTGAGACTCAGCAGAGTGCTGCTGCCATGAAACCAGAGTCTAATGGTAAGAGTCCTCTGAAGGCACAAGTACATAACCTGTCTGGGAAGAAGGTGGGATTGAAAGTTTGGTGTATGTAGAGATGCTGCAATAAGGATGGGAGCACACTTCTGTTGTCTGAAGTCTTCACACTAGCACACTTCTGTTGTCTGAAGTCTTCAAACTGTGAAACAGATTCTTGCTTTTAGAAACAGGAATGCAAAAGTACTGTAAGATTCTAGTCAAATACACATTACTGAGATACTGAAAGCAGTAAGGAAGAAATGACTCTGGGACTCTGTGAAGATCCTGAATTCTGTTGCAGTTAAAGTTAATATATATGTAAGTTTGTGTCATACTGCAGCCTGGAGGAATCACAGACCTCCCCTCTGTGTATGAAGGTAGTCCAGGAAGATGGTACAGTTCTGAGTCACATGGAGAACTTTCAGCTATAAGGAATTCTTTCAGTTAGCAGCTAGAACAAAGTTGTTGATTTTATCCCAGGATTATGGCTTCTGTGTTATGTCTAGAGTTTAATTCAGGCTTAAATTTGGTAAGGATTTTGTACTGCAGATAGAGAATATAATTATTTCCATCATGTTTGGACCTCTTTTTTGATGGTGGAAGGTGAGCAGTCAGGGTAGTACTGAGTTAGTGATGCTGTGGTTTTACTGCCAGGATGAGAAACCTGTACATTAAAATGCTTTTAGTGTATGTTTGGGGTTTTAAAATTATTATTACTTAAATTTTGTTATGTTTTATTTTTTGTATCTCTGAGGTTTTTTACTATTAGTTTTCCTATCTTTTGGCACTTCATCTCTGCTAGTGATATATTGTAATCACTTTCAGTTGTAGATTGATTTTGAAAATGGTATTTTGTGTATAGTAGGAATTGATACAAGTAAATTTCCTTGATGTAATTGAAGTAACAAATGTTAGTTTACTCTTGATTAATTTTCCTGTTTTGTAAGGATTTTTCCACTGAAACATGTTTTTTCTCTACCCTCCTTCAACTCCCAGGAGTTTTGGATGACAGATCTCAGACTCAGGAACCCTCTTGCTCAGATCTCTTCCTGTTTCCAGACGAAAGTGGAAATGTCTCACAAGACTCCAGCCCCACTTATGCTTCATTCACTCATCACTTGATAAATGAAGCCATGGGAGATGTTCCTGCAGAAAGTGATGATTTCTGCATTCTTTTTGCACCCAAAGTTGCTGTTGCTGTAAGATCCTTTGAAAATTACTAAAAAATCCACATATAAGCTGAATTAGAGGAAAACTGATGTAAGACCTGGACAAATTAGATTTCACAGATTTGCGTGATTGCTTAGTGATATTTTTATCAGTGGGCAGAGTAGCAGAAAAATAGTTTTTCTGTTTGAAAGGACTTCATTACTGTTAGGAATGAATGGAAGTATTTTCAGATAGATATGATTTTTCTGCATCTCAGCAGAATGGAATTGTTTTCTGATCTGAAAACTGATGTAAGACCTGGACAAATTAGATTTCACAGATTTGCGTGATTGCTTAGTGATATTTTTATCAGTGGGCAGAGTAGCAGAAAAATAGTTTTTCTGTTTGAAAGGACTTCATTACTGTTAGGAATGAATGGAAGTATTTTCAGATAGATATGATTTTTCTGCATCTCAGCAGAATGGAATTGTTTTCTGATCTGAATGTGACATAAAATTGGCAGTTTCCCTACAGTGTAGTCATATTTTATCAGGGCCATTTTGACTTACAATAAAGGCATAGTTAGGGAAAAAATGTTACGAGCAAAAAACATATTTATGAAAATAACAGCTTTGCACATCTTCTAATCTTTTATTCAGTTCTCTTATAGTCTAAACTTTCACTGGTTTTATGGACCTGAGATCCTTGCCAAACTGCAGAGAAAAGCTCATGTGCCACTTCACACCAATATCTGTCCTCTGCATGGAAAGATTTAGGGAGCTATACTTAGGCTCTTTGGAAACAGCTTGTGTTCATGTTTTTCGTGGCATCTCTGGTTGTGTTCTTAATGGACAGAAGTAGTTCTAGATCTCTTATTAGAAGCTGTATTTTCCCAGTTACATTTGAGCTTATTTGTGTCCAAAAGTACTAATATGGGAGACTGGGAACTTCCATGGTTTTTTTGTTTGCTTTCAGCTAGTATTTGTTTATGTTTTGGGTAACAACTTTTTTTGGTTTGGTTTAGGGTTCTTTTGTTGATATTGTGGTTAATACTTCTCAGCTTCTAAACCAGGTGTTTTTCATGTGCTTTTGTCTTTATAAGACTCATTCTTAGAACAATCGTGTTGCATAAGCTTCAGAGGACAGTACAGAATAGTTTATTTTCATAGGAAAGAATTCGACATCTCAGTAAAGAATGCATATTTCACCTTCTCAGTGCTGTGCACTTTATTTTTAACTAGGAAAAAGAGGAAGAGCCAGTTATAAAAATAATGGTGGATGATGCAATTGTCATAAAGGACAATCATTTCAGCCAACCAATTAAAAAAACAGATACAAGCAAAGCTCCCCTTCATTTCCCTGTTCCTCTGGTCCGCTACGTTGTGAAGGAAATCTCTCTCATTTGGCACCTGTATGGCGGAAGGGATTTTGGGGCTGCACCACCAACATCTCCAGCTAAAAGTTTCATGTAAGTGTTTGATGTAATTCTGTGGATTAGGACATTTAAAAATACTTCATTTTCTTTGACTTGGGGTGATGTCACAGTTTGATCTCAAGTCTCCATCGCTTGCGTCTTTGCTCCCTTCGCACAAGGAATCAATCACAGAATGGTTTGGGTTGGAAGGGACCTTAGAATAACTCCACACACCAGAGAGTCTTTTTCCTGTGTCTTAACCCAGACAAGCTGGGTTTGGTTTTGCTGGGTTTTTTGGGGGTGGAGGGATGGATTTGCTTTTAGGGTAATATTGGAAGTCAAATTCTCTTGCACAGATCAGAGCTTAAGGAGTATAAGAGACTATTGCTGTGGTAGCTTGAGTCAGATTTGCAGGATGTCATATAAGCTAAAAAGTAATTAAAATTATCACAGCCAAAATCAAGGAAACGTGTTGTGAATGCTAATTTGGTGGGATGCATACACCTAGCATTCTGCTGAAGTATGCATTGCCTGAACAGCAAAAAGGAATTATTTGGTTAACAGTAACACAATTTCAATGTTGGTTTATTTTTTTTTTTTTAAAGCCATTAAAATACTAATAAGTTGCATCCAGTGACGCATAAGTGCTTTTAGTTTTGGATTAACAGCAAGATAACTCAAATCTGCAAAAGTGTATTTTTACTTTTTGTTTCCCCAGAAGTCCCCATAGTTCTCCTTCTCATACACCAACGAGGCATGGCCGGAATACAGCATGTGGGGGAAGAGGAAGAAACCCAGACTTCCTCATGGAAATACAGTTAAGCAAGGTAAGTGACAGAAATGGCTTCAGCCATGACTGTGTGAATCTTTACGTGTTCATTCGATAACAGGTTTCCATTAGAGTTCAGCAGTTCATCAGTATCTACATCTAAAAAATCACTTTGAAGCTTTGAAATAATCACTATGAATGTAGGATTTGCTTAACAATGTGTTTGTTCTTTGAGCATAGTATTATTTGCTTACTGAACAAACTTGTTTCTTATGATGAAGGATATTTGCTAGAAAATTCTCAAAGTTTTTGTTTATTATAACCAAGTGTTCCAACTGCTGTTCTGTTTTGCTGTCTTCAGTTCTACTTTGAATAGATGATTTCTGTTACTAAATTAAGTGTTGTAGCAAAATAACCAGAACGTAGGTCTGCTGAGACACTCAGTTACCAGTTTGATAACTGGGTATTAAATTACATCCAGTTGCATCACCATATCCTTCATAGAAGGAATCATAGAATGGTTTAGGTAGGAAGAGACCTTAAGGATCATCTGCTACCACTCCCCCAGCCATGATTAGAGGCACCTTCCACTAGACCAGGTTGCTCAGAGCTCCATCCAACCTGGCCCTGAACACTGTGGGGAATGGGCACCCACAGCTTCTCTGGGCAACCTGTTCAGTGCTTCACCATCTTCACAGTAAAGGATTTAGTCCTAAAATCTAATCTAAACCTACTCTCTTTCAGTTTGAAGACATTCCCCCTTGTCTTGTCCTACATGCTCTTATAAAAAGTCCCTCATTCCTGTATTTCTCCTAACATATTCAGCACTTTTCAGACATAACTATCTTACTGTTGTTTTTAAGGCTGTGCTTAGCTCTCACATAGAAACTAAATGCTTGATTCTGGTGCTGTGAAGTATATTGGCAAGGAGTCAAAATTCATTTAAATGTATCAATAGCAAAACCTTTTAAAAATAAGGTTTCCTCAAACATTTCCATAAATATAAAACTAAATGCTGGTTCTGGTCAATGTGCATTTCTAAAGCTCAAAATTCAACTCATTAGCGCTTCAAGATTACCATAAATGTTTGATGCTTATTTTAGCCTTTTCTAGAAAACCCATGACATTGCAATAAAAAAGAGGAAAAAAAGGAAGTGTTTAAAATTCAAACAGGAAAACATCATATGGAGCTGTATATCCATCTCTGTTAATCTGCAGATATTTAAGCAAGGTTTGCAGATATTTAAGCCAGGCTGGATGAAACCTTGAGCAAACTGGTCTAGTGGGAGGTGTCCCTGCCCATGGCTGGGGATTGAGGCTAGATGATCCTCTGAGGTCCATTCCAACCCGTAAAATACTTATATTTAATGAGTTGGTGTTAGTAATAAGGCATAAAGGAGCTTTTTTCCCCTTACTAACTTAGTGCAAGGCTTAATAATAACGTTTAAAGAAGAAATTGAGGAGATGAAGTGCCACGAACAGTGTGTTAGCGATTCCGAGTGCGGCCAGCAGAGGGCGCCGTGGTGCTGCCTGTGCTCCCTGCGGGTCGGGAATGGTCTGTGGGGAACCTCAGGTCTGGGATTGACAACCAGAACTGCATCCCGAGACGGGGAAAAGGAGATAATTCAGAATTCTTTAAAATTTAAGAAAGAAAATTAATTAGAATTTATATGGTTAAAGTGGGGAGAGAAAAAGGAGAGACTGGAAGAATCATAGAAACATAGAATTTTAGGGGTTGGAATGGACCTTATAGATCATCTAGTCTCAACCCCTCCTGCCATGGGCAGGAACAACTCCCTACTAGACCACGTTGCTCAAGGCTTCATCCAGCCTGGCTTTGAACACTGCCAGGGCTGGGGCAGCCACGACCTCCCTGAGCTACCTGTGCCAGTGTCTCACCACTTGAAACCACTTGACAAGTCTGTTGTTAGGGAAGAAACCTTGCTCTCCTAAGTATAGGGAGTGCAAGGTTCAAGAATTGCCTGATTGCCTGGTACAGGCTTCAACATGATGTAAGAAAAATGACAGGATTGAGAGGAAAAAGCAGAGTCAGCATAAAAACAAGAAGTGAAACTCATTCCTTATCTTACACCGACTCTGCATCTTAAAATAGGAACATGTACATGACTAGAAATTGGAAGATTTCTACTGCTAGACATGTAAAAATTTGCATAGTTTTCAGATATCATAATATGATTCCTGTAAATTTAAAATATAGTCAACTTTTAAAGTTCTTAAGTGTGGTGTGGCTTTCTGTGTTTTGGGTTGGTTTGGGTTTTTTTAGTAGTGTTGTTAAAAGTTGCTTTTCACTGAAACTGATGATGCTGGTTTTCCTTCCTTTTTTAAAGGTGAAATTCCAGCATGAGGTGTACCCTCCCTGCGGGGCAGAAGGTGATTCCTGTCTGTTGGAGCAGCCAGTGTCACGGCAGGTTTTTATTGTGCAGGACCTGGAGATTAGAGATCGCTTAGCTACATCACAAATGAATAAATTTCTCTATCTCTACTGCAGTAAGGAGATGCCCAGAAAAGCACATTCAAACATGGTACAGTTATGAAATATGTTCATTTATTACCATGATAGTGGTTTAACTATCATTATGGGGGTTATGTGCATTTCTTAATCTTGGAGAAGGTGGTACATGAGTTCTTGGTCACTGAAGTGATGTAATTTGTTGCTAGTTGTTTGCTTGACTCCTTGTGGATATTAAAACTAACTCGAAAGTCAGTTTGAGTGTTAGCATGTCAGGTATTAATGTTTTTGAGATTCTGACAGTTGAAAAAAGCTGATACGCCAACTACTTTGGTAGCTTCCAGAATTTGGTTTTGAACAAACATCTGCTTGTATAAGTATGCTTACACTCTTCACATGCAGAGTTGTGGTTGTATGGTATACTATAGTCTTGCTGGTTCTATAAAAGATTTTTTTACTTTTGGTGGGGGGATTCTTACTTCAATTTTCTTTTTTATAATGTCCATAGTAAGTGATTCAGTACTAGCTTTATAATTGCTAAGTGGAATCAGATTAGTACAGAGGTTTTGCAGTAGATGTTTTTCCTAGCTAACATTCTGAGATTCAATAACTGTGAATGTTAAGTGCTTTTATTCTCTTGTTGTTTTTTTTCAGCTAACAGTTAAAGCACTACATGTCCGTCCAGAGTCTGGCAGATCCCCACAGGAGTGTTGTTTACGTGTTTCACTCATGCCACTTCGCCTCAATATTGACCAGGTTGGTTGTGCCAATGCAAAAAATGAAATAAATTTCTGTTTATTTAATGATACCGGAGGTTTCTTTTAACCAGATGCTTTTAGCCGTCATACACATTGTGGTTTATGTTTTCTTGGCGTGATACCATTTATATTTATGATCAGTCGCACATATATTTGAATCTCTGCCACTCTCTTTATATCTATGGTAGAACTTGCCTTCTGCTCCAGCTATTACAGAAAATAGTCTTGTTATTGAATCATAAAATCATCAAGGTTGGAGGAGACCTCTAAGGTCATCAAGTCCAACCATTAAACTGTCATTCTGCTGTAACGCCTAAACCCTAAACCATATCCTCCGGTGCCAGATCCAGATGCCTCTTAAACACTTCCAGGGATGGTGACTCCACCACATCTCTGGGCAACCTATTCCGGTGCCTGAACACCCTACCAGGTAGAACATTTGCCAACCTATCCCGGTGCCTGAACACCCTACCAGGTAGAACATTTCTCTTGACATCCAATCTGACTCTGCCCGGTCTCAGCTCAAGCCATTCCCTCTAGTCCTCTCCCTGCAGCCATAGCAGTAGAGACATCCCCTACCTCTCTCCAGCCTTGGCAGGGTCTCGCTCCAGTGCCTCAATGTCCTTTTATGCAGTGAGCAGCCCAAACCTGAACACAGCACTGAGGTGTGATCTCACCAGTGCCAAGTTCAGGGGGATGACACTGCCCTAGTCCTGCTACCACACTATTCTTGATCCAGGCCAAGATACCCTTGGCCTCATTGGCCACCTGTGCACACATTCTTGATCCAGGCCAAGATACCCTTGCATACCATACACCAGCACTGCCAAGTCTCTTTGTGACCAACACCTCTCTCCTGACTTCTCCCCCAGCCTGTAGTGCTGCATGGGGTTGTTGTGTCCCAGGTGCAAGACCAGCACTGAGCCTGACTGACCCTCATGCAATTGTCCTCAGCCCATTGATCAAGTTGATCCAGGTCTCTCTGTAGAGCTTTTTTTTTTTAAATTAATTTAATAATATCTCTAGATGTGGATTTTTATTCAATGAGTTTTCCTCCTGAGTCTTCGGATAATCTCAAAGGTTTTGGAATCATGGCTTTTAAAAAGCATATACTTATTCTCCAATAATCGGATTTTGTTTGTGAAGTGGCTTCATTGTTTTAAATTGAAAAATTAATCCAGAAGTGATTTACAACATTTTAGTCAAGGGCACTTGACACTCGAGGGCTGCTTTGGTCTTGCTATTGACTGCAGTGGCATGAAGAGCAGATAGTATTTTTCTTTGTTTAACAAGCCTTTGATATACCCAAGAAACATTTGGATTTTTTCCAAACCGATAAGGAAGCTACGTATATTTGTGCATGCAGATAAAACATGCAGTTATTACTCTTTAAGGCATTCCTTGCTTACTTTGTCATCTTCAGAGAGATATTTGGGTTTTGGTTTTTTAAAGGGACATAATTAGGAGTTCCATACCTACCTTCTTGTTCCATCAACACACATTAGAGACCAGGTTTTCATTTTGGTGTTAGTAAAAATGAATTCTGTCTACTATGCAGTTATTTCATCTAGAAAAACAGCCTGGAAATACTGCCATGTAGCAGTGAAATGCGTTCCATCTTGGTTACTTTTTTGTCTTTTATCTTTTTGTACCATAAGCAAAATTCACCTTTACAACTTATGTGAAATTAGCCACAGCTTTTTTGGAAGCACTGGGCTGTGTGCAGTCATGTTAGAAATACTTGTTATTATTACTTAAGATGTCTTTCTTATCAAGTGTAAACAAAAATGGACAAGAAAGTCCAGATGGCATTAATGATAGGATGAATAAAGCAACAGTGTGATGTGTTTGTCAGAAAAAGAAAATGGAATGTAATAACTTTCAGACATTAACAAGAGATTAACACCGTACATATTAACAACTTTTAATGAAGCAACAATGAGATCTGGTCTGTAATGACTTGACTGACAGTGTTAGAAGAATATAAACTGTAGTTAAACACCCTTTTATTGGAAATCTGAGAAAAATGTGTCACTGTTAAAACAGCTGGTTCTGGAACAGTCTCCAAAAGGGGAGCAAAAATTATGAAAACAACCCTGGATTTTTAAGACCAAGCTAGGCAGATCATGAAATAATACTATATGTAGCAGAGAGGGCAGTGACCAAGAGGATCTCTCTGGTTTCTGACCTAGATTTCTATGTGACTTCTGCATGTATTAAAAGATCAAAAAGAAGAAAGATGTTTTGTTTCATATCTGTGTGGAAAGAGAGATGGAGTGGTAGATAATATTTTTACAGAATGGAGTATTTGTATTTATTTTAACCTGATTGTAGTTTATTTTTTGCCATTAGGATGCCTTGTTTTTCCTGAAGGATTTTTTCACTAGCCTCTCCACAGAAGTAGAACTCTTAGTTACTCCAGATCCTGAAGGTATACTTTTCAAAAATCTAACATAAAAGAGGTGCTTTTTCTCCTTTAATGTGTGTACACATCTATAAATTCACATGTGAGTCTCATGTTTTTGAAAACTTGTGTTGATGTTTGGGCACTGACATTAATGACCGATTTGTTGGAACACAGAAACTTTGAATATTTTAGCTTTGCATTTTATAATACAAACAAAGGTCTTCAACACCTGGGACCTTGATATGCTCCAATGTTTCACCAACATCAGAGCATATTTAATAAGAGCTCCTGAAAAAGCTGAGGATGGTGTACATAATATTAGGAGTTATTGTTATATAAAACAAATATATTATTTAATACCTCTTACATAAAAGTGTGTGTCTAATAGCTTGAAGTTGTGTAACACTTAGGGAAAGGAACAGAGTTCAAGATGATAAATAAGCATCCCAATATGTATGCACTTAAAGCAGTACTTCTAATCAGCTACACCATCTGATGCAAAAGCAGTATCTATTGAAAAGCATCTTTCCTCTAGTATCTATATTTGTGCATTTGTTAGCAGCACTATCTATTTCTATTGAGCTGTCACACTGAAATGCATTGGTAATGAACTAGTCTGCAATAATGCCATTAAAACCAGATGGATTATTTATGCTGATACATAAACTTCAACTTAAGCTGCATGTAATAACTTCTGCTGATAACTAAGAGAATCTAGATGTTGTCCTGCTAGTCATTCATAGAATTATAGAATTTAGGGGTTGGAATGGACCTTACAGATCATCTAGTCCCAACCCCCTGCCCTGGGCAGGGACACCTCACTACATCAGGTTGCTCAAGGCTCATCCAGCCTGGCTTTAAACACTGCCAGGATTGGGGCAGCCACCACGTCCCTGGGCAACCTGTGCTACAGTCTCACCACCCTTAGAGTAAAAAACTTTTTTCTCACATCTACCTAGACTTTCCTTCCTTCAGTTTGAACCCATTGCTCCTTGTCCTGCCATTGCAGTTACTGAATTCCTACTGTTCCTACTAATAAGCATAAGAATTTAGTAAGGATACAGTACTTGTGTAAATGCAAACTTTCTGTAATCACTGTGAAAAATATGAGTTGAGTTTCTCTCTATAACTTCTCTTAGTTAAAAAGTCTCCTGGTGCTGAAGTTACGTGTAGTTTGCCCAGGCATGTCAGCAGCCTTAAGGAACCAAGTCCAGTCATTTCCTTCTCATCACCCAAGCAAGCAAATGAAAATGGTAGCATTGATTCTGTGGATGTGGTTAATGGAGATGATGATCATTTCTCACAAGAACCAACGTCATACAGTGATCAGCCAGTATTTTTCAGGTAAACTTTTGTTACAAAATTTCCACACAGCTGATCTGCTGAATGTTTTAATGAAGTGTGATGATAAACCATTCAGACCTTATGGCAAGGTGCATTTTTTTGTGTTTTTTTTATTGACTGGTTATGGAAATCAAATATATTTGTTTCTATCACTGGAAGGTAACTAATGATTTTTATTAACTTTTGCACAGTACTGTGCTCGAGAAAATAAAAACTAATTAAAGCTCTGCCATGTACGAAACCTGTAATGAGACGTTTTACAAATAAATATAAAGAGCAGTCTTCGTACTCTTGTGTCTAGAGATATAAATTAGATCTAATAGAACCAGAGATGAGAGTATATAAAGAAAAAGGATCTCATGGGAGAGGTATGAGATTAATATATCACAAAAGAAACTCTAATGTAGTCCTGTCTGGGAAGTGATTATGACAATTGCAGCTTGTTATGCACAGGTTTTTTATATGTCTTCAGATCCTAAGTGCCTCTAGCAGCAGCAGTGTGCTTTGGTAGGCAGTGCAGAGCCAAACCATGAAAGCATCACTGTGTTTCTTCATCATTTACATCACCAACAGAATTTGGTGTTCCAGTTGCAGGACTAAATTTTGCCCCCAGAATCATCATTTTGTGGATGTTTCTGTTTGGGTTTCTTTTTTTTTAACCTGAAAATCATGCTGTGAAAATGGAGGAAAGATGTCCACTTGAAGGATTAGAAGCACTTTGGCAGGACTGTTAGTTTGGTTATAGGTGCTAATCTGAACTAGATATTAATAAAACAAGAAAAGCTGAGCCTGCCACTGTATATTGTACAGTTATTCTAAAGTATTAACAAAGTAACTAGATGATTTATGGCTTACAGAAAAGGGGATGGCATCCTATTCCAGGGGGCTGGGAAACCATGAGTTTCTTTTTGGAAGGATATTTATATTTCCTTTTCATGTTTCTCACTGTGACATTTCCTTTGTATGTCCCAGAGAATTTCGTTTCACATCCGAAGTTCCCATACGACTTGATTACCACGGCAAGCACGTGTCAATGGATCAGGTTTGTGTGTAACGCTGATGCTATGAACAAAAATTTGATGTTGTTTGTTTTGCTTTCACACCCACCATGAGTTGAGGTATATATTTATGCTTCTACCCTTTTTTTTTTTCCTCTTAGTTTCAATAAAGCTTCACAGAATCACAGAATCAGTTAGGGTGGAAGGGACCACAGTGGGTCATCTGGTCCAACCTCCCTGCTCCTCAAGCAGGGTCATCCTTGAGCACATGGCTCAGGATTGTGTCTAGACAGTTCTTGAATATCTCCAGTGAGGGAGAATCCACGACCTCTCTGGGCAATCTGTTCGGTTCTCAGTGTCTGCACAGTAAAGAAGTGCTTCCTCATATTCAGGTGGAACTTCCTGTGCATCAGTTTTTGCCTGTTGCCACTTGTTTTATTGGTTTCCACCACTGAGCAGAGTCTGATCCATCATCTTGGCATTCCCATTCATGTGCTTGAACACATTAATGAGGACCCTCTTAGTTATCACTTCTTGAGACTGAGCAGGCCCAACTCCCTCAGCCTTTCCTCATCAGTGAGGTGCTCCAGTTCCAAGAGTAACCTTGTTTCACTCTTAATTTGAAAACTAGGGGGGTGTATCCTCCAGGTATGATTAACTCAGAATGTAACTTGATTGTCACATTTATGAACTCAATGATTGGCTTGAAATCATAGTATGTGGCTGCAGTGCCCCTCAAAGGATGATACCACTGTCTGATGCCAGAACTGTGCATTTCGTTTTATTTTTCTCCCTGTTACTGCCAGATTAAAATATTGCCATTTTTTCTCCTTGTTTCGTTCCATTGCAGTCTAGTAATGTATGGGCCTCAGTGGCAGTGGCAAAGTCCATTACAGATGAAAACATGCTCATAGTTCTTCTTGAAATACACATTTGTTATCATACTGAGTTCAGATGCAGACATCAGAAAATCTTGTTTGCACAACCAGATTTGTACTTTGTCATGGCAAATCAGTAAGAAAATATAGATGTATGAAAGCTCAACTTACTCAATTTGCACTACTGTCAGAAATCAAAACATAAAATATCGCAGCCTTAGAATGCCTGGAACACACTAAAGCTATGTTTACATAGTTTCTTATAGCTTGTTATTTCTGAAAAAGCTCTCTTGTATCCAGATGTTTTTCTTACCTCTAATATCCAGATGTTTTTCTTAGGGTGGCAGGTTAAGCCAGATTCATCTTTTGCAAGTTTTCATCTAACATTATTCATAGCGCTGGAGTGGGTAGCATTTAGGGGACAGGGAGAATCAGTTTACACAGAAATAACCTGCAGTAAGAGTGGAGATGCTGAAATTATTGCTTACTTATGTGTGCTAACAAAATATTTCTCTTACAGGGAACACTAGCTGGGATTCTTATTGGGCTTGCTCAGTTGAACTGCTCAGAATTAAAACTGAAGAGACTTTGTTACAGACATGGGTAAGTTTATAAAGCTGTAGATTAACATTACAAATTGAATAAGTTTTATGGGGAATAACTGAACACAGCAAATGCAAAGTAAATACAAAGCAAATTTTCTGTTAAGATGGAATTCTAAAATCCAAGATGCTTTTTGTCTTAAATATTTCTTGATTCTGGTTTTTTTCATACATGGGTCTTTCAAGAATATCTGTTTCAGTGCAATATTTAGTATATGTGCTGGTCTTGATGATAATCTCTTAGTTTTAGTTTTATGTTTGCTTCCTATTCACCAAGATGTGATTATGCAGTCTTGCCTAATTTTCTGTTTTATGAAGCATATATACTTGAAATGTTTGGGTTAGCCAACAGCAACACAAGATGAGACTTGTAGAAGCTTCCTTTTGTTTGGATAACATCTTTTACTTCAATGAATAATATATTTATCTTATAAGGAACTGTATGTTTAAAAAAACTAACAATTCTATTTACTTCAGTTTATTAGGTGTGGATAAATTGTTTTCCTATGCCATCAGTGAATGGCTCAATGATATAAAGAAAAACCAGCTACCAGGAATTCTGGGAGGAGTAGGGCCTATGCATTCACTAGTGCAGTTAGGTAAGTTAATTCTCATTTCTATTCAGACACATATGACATGTTTTTATAAAACAAACAAAACCTCCACCCTCTCTAAAAAAAAAGACCCAACACAAGCCTTGCTGACATTTCTTGTCGCTTCCTTTGAAGGCATTCTGCTTATCTAAGAACTTTCTAACTATGGTATTCTATCTTCATTTTCAGTCCAAGGTCTGAAGGACTTGGTGTGGTTACCAATAGAGCAGTACCGGAAGGACGGACGGATCGTCAGAGGCTTTCAGAGAGGAGCAGCTTCGTTTGGGACTTCCACTGCAATGGCAGCACTGGAGCTAACTAACAGAATGGTTCAGACTATACAGGTACAGTGTATTACTCCTAAAGTTAGACATAAAATGAGAAGTGTTGCTGGTAAGTGCTCTCCATTAAGTTAATGTCTTTATGCTATAGATTTAAGGTCAGGAGCAGGTATTAAAAAAATAACAACTGTATAAATAGGCAGACAGAGACTGGGCATAGCTTGCAGCAGTCTGTGAGGTGAGAAGCAGGACTTCAAATGCAGAGGTTAGAAACTTGTGTTAAAATGTAGCTGAATACCCAAGCTGCTACATGTTTCTTAATGTATTGCAATGTATAGTTTAATACTGAAATTTTCAGCTTCACTAAAAAATCACCGATCCTGAGAAAGATGAGTTCTTGCACGTGTATTTTTCAGTAATAGACTCTTTACCATTTTGTAAATTGGCAGCTTATCTGTGCTTATTTAAAACAAACAAACAAACCACAAAACCAGCCAACCAAAAAAACCCCCCAAACCTCAAAACCAATATTAGTTGGTTGATCTACACAAAATACTAATTGTGTTGATCTACACAAACTCTGTAAAGCTTTCTGGTTTTACCTCTAGAGTAATCTTGGATGAAAGTTTTCAGAAATTGATGTTCCTCCATGTAAAATACGTAATGAAAATACTGTTGGCACCTAATCTTAAAAATTTGCATATGTGCCTAAAGCTTGAACATATATAGTAAGAGAACAGTGGTATTAATCACGAGTAGGATTATATGTATGCTTGTGTGTCTGTAAGAAATACTTAGTGTTGATTAAATGTTCAGTTTTGGTCTTGAGCATTTCATGCTGATCAGAGATGCCTTCGAAGCAGCAGCAATTAGGAGGGGAAAAAAGCCCCACCAAAACCTACCACATTGATTTTTTTTCATTGTGGAACTTAATGTATGGTTACAGCTTCACCCATTCCAGAAGTTCTTGTACAAAACCTTAATCTGATGTAAATGAGTATTATTTGTGGACTCAGAATTCTTGTATTTCCATGATGTCACCCTGGTAGTAGTTTGAATTTGTGAGCAGGTGCTGCAAGATTTCTTACGTGTTTTGCATTCACTCCTGATCTTCAGGCAGCTGCAGAAACTGCATATGACATGGTATCACCAGGGCCTACCTTCATTGAAGCAAAAAAGATCAAGCGATTCCCTCGCCATCGTTTAGCTCATCAGCCAGTAGACCTACGGGAAGGTGTAGCCAAAGCATACAGTGTGGTAAAAGAGGTGAGTGCAGAAGTCACTGTTGTTAACCAAAGTGAAGAATTATTTCCTAAGGCAGCAACTAAAATAACAGGTGTTTGTTTAAGCTGACCAAATGAAGAAGAGGGTTTAAGTTTTGAACAAGACTGCCTTCATCTGTAATCTTAAACCAGCAGAAACTTTGCATGGAAAAAGCAGAAATAAGCTAAGATGTTGTGCAGATCATAGACTCATCAGTGTTGGACACTTCTAAGCATCGTGTTCAACCATTAACCTGTCGCTGCTGTAACCCCTAAACCATATCCTCCAGAGCCGGATCCAGGTGCCTCAAGCACTTTCAGGAATGGTGACTCCTCCATCTCCCTGGCCAATCTATTCCAGTGCCTGAACACCCTAACAGTGAAAAAAAATTTCCTAACATCTAATCTGAATCTCTCCTGTCTCAGTTTATGACAGTTCTCTCAGCTTACGCTGTTTCCAGATATGTGTGAATAGGACTTGAGTGCTCTGTAGTTGTGATGGTTTACAATTATTCTGAGTAATGTAAACTTCACTTGCTGTGCCATGTTGTCTGTCCTTCCCTTCCTGCCTGCCCCTTCCCTGTCCTCCTCACAGTTCCTGTTGATTCTGAGGTTGTTAGAGTTTAACCACAGTGCTGGATTTAAAAGAAATTAAGCTTTCTCTACCATGACAGTGTACTAAAAATTAGAATGCTGACCTATTTTTACTGTATTTTTGTACTCTACTTAGTTGCACCTGATATGATCTCTACGAAGTTAGGTCTCAGCTGAGCTTCCAGTGAATTGTCAGCTTTGAACAGGTCACAGTAGGCCACAGCTTCTTCCCTTATGCACCAGAAGTTACATGAAATATTTACATCTCTTAAGTTCATAGTAGTGTTGTTTTAAGCCTCATTAGAAGAACTAAATCATATTTGTATTGCTGTACTTGTACTACAGTTATGATACAAATCACCAAGATGAAAAATGCTGAGCAGATGAAAGTTTCCCTTAAAATTAGGAGAGGTTGCTCTTTCTGTCTCAGTGTAACTGGTTTCTTTTGATTTCTCAAAGGGGATTACGGACACTGCCCAGACCATCTATGAGACTGCTGCTCGTGAGCATGAGAACAGAGGAGTCACTGGAGCAGTGGGAGGAGTTCTTCGCCAAATCCCACCAACTGTGGTGAAACCTTTCATTGTTGCAACAGAGGCAACCTCAAATGTCCTAGGTGGAATGAGAAACCAGATCAGGCCAGATGTGCGTCAGGAAGAGTCTCAGAAGTGGCGCCTTGGGGAGGATTGAGGTTCCAAATCTGGCTCAGCAGGCAGGGGGCAAGGCTGGCAATGCAGAAGAATGTCCTGTTGGCAGCTTTAGATGGAGCTCACTTTGTTTTGTCGTGCTCATCTCAGGAACAAATGAGATTTTTCAACTCTAATTAGCAAAACATCCAACCAAAAATATTTATGAAGTGAAAAGCAAATTGGTACCTGCTCATACCATGTGTTCCCGATCCATTGGGTGGATAGTGCCAAACATAGTGAAGCATGTGCTGCCAACCCAGAGACATGCTCTGTTCCATTTACCATATTTTTCGTGGTAGATTTAACATCCACAGCAGTAGCCTGTATGGTGAACATAAGAGGTCTTTAGACAGGTTTTCTGAGCATAGTCAAAGAACTGTCTTCAATAAAGGGCTCTGCAGATGCTCTTCACTGACTAAAGCTTTCACTGTGGATGTGAGACATGAAGGCTATCTAATATGGAAGCAGATGAGATAATACTGTGTAGTGGTCATAAGCATCGCTTTTAGCGTGGCACTTACAACAAGGACAAGCTTGATAACCATTCAGAGTTTAGATTCAGTGTTGATACACCTATGAACAGGATTGATTCCGAAATATTAAATACCTACTTTAGTGGGTTTTGGAAGAACCTGAATGTTGCAGAGATGTTCTGTTGTGTTGCACTTTAAAGGATATGGCCTGTATATTGTGCTTTTTTTATAGTGTGAATAAAATGTAATGTGCATTATCCTTTATGTGGTTTAGAAGCTTACACAAATTATTGAAAAGAGCATCATTTGATGATGATCCTACAGAAAAAGTGTCTTAAATTTATTTAAGCTCGTTATATATAAACCCATTTTTGTCTTCTGTTACACTAATTACCATGCTAAAAATACCTATTCTTCAAGAAAACAGCAGTTAATTATAATTGTGGCCAACGGTTCTTTGTAAGAATGAAAAATCTTAAGTAAAACCAAATTGTTTCATAATTTCATGGTTCAAAGGCTATACAGACTTTATTTTAATAATCTGCTTTTATTTGAACTTTGTATTGTTGCAAAGTTGCTGCTCCCACAAGATGTTTTTAATTGAGTTTGTGCATCCTTAGATATTTGACAGTGAGTATTTGGGGTCATTTCGCCAGAGCTGGGAATGGGTGAGAGGATTTGAAAAAAAGGACAACAGATCTTCAAAACTCAAAGTTGGTACTGACATTATTTGCAATTTAGTAGGTGATCAAGGTCTCCACAGAGCTTTATTAAGCGCCTGATAATTGCACCATTTCTGGGCAGTTATAAGGCTCTAGCTGTGCAAGAGTGAACTGTTTTCAGCTCATACTAGCAGAAAATGGAGGGTAAAAAGTAAAGTCTGTTTTGAATAGAAAAATACACATTTTGAATTTCAGCAGGTTAACACTTTAAAAAGTAAAGTCTGTTTTGAATAGAAGAATACACATTTTGGATTTCAGCAGGTTAACACTGAATGACTAGTCAGGACTTAAGTTTGTCATAGTCCTGTGCTAGTCGTAAGTGAAAATCCTGCCAATATGCATATGGAAAATCTCTGAAAGAGGAACATCAGATGCTATTGATCAGACTTGGGTCTCTAAGGGTGAAGAGGAAGTAGTTTCCCTCTCTTTTATTTAGTCCCTGCCACTAGCAAAAACTTCACTGATGGACCTTGTGGGACAAAATAGGAGTGTATGACAGAAAATAACGACTGTTCACACTGACACTATACCAGTTATTCCTGAGCACCAAAGAATCTGGCTGGAGGGTGAATGATTTGAAAATGTCCCCTCTGCTGGGGAGACTTCTGCAGTCTGCTTTATTATTTTTCATAAAACAAAGCTCCAGATAACAACAAATTCTTGCACTGGGTGACAGGTGATATTAGCAAGTTTTATTTCCATTTGCTGGAATCACTGAAGTTGTGGTACAGTTTGAAGACTTGGCTCTTTCAGTTTAATAACTTGCTGCAAGCAGGAGGAGATGCTTTTGAGAGGACAAACACCTGCAGATTTATTGGCATGAAACATTTTCTGATGTAAAAAATACTTGCTGCAGTTCATACTTCTGCCCAGTAATTAGAGAGCTCAAAGTGTGAGTGTTTTGCACAGGAATGAGTTCCATGTTTGCAGTGTGGCACCTCCTGAATGCCTTCTCAAGAAGTGATGAGTCAATGCAAGTAAGTAGCAATGCATTTTTTCATTTGTAATTACCATACTACATAATTTTAGCTAGTCCAGTTCATCCAGTTAATTAGACTACCCTGTAATAGTATGTCTACATCTTTTCGTCCTGCTTGACATTGCTATAAAGGAGCAATGGCATTTTGGTGTTCATTTCACTTTCAGGTCTACCAAGATCTGATTGTACTGCAATGCAGTTAGAATATATTTTTATATGAGGGCATGATGTCAAGGTAAAACATTTTTATAGCATGTCTCTCATTGTCAGCAATACAGCCTGTACAAATAATTAAACTTCACTTTTCACTCTGTAAACACTCTCATTTACTGCTTGCACTTTATCAGCCTTTCAAAAGTTTCTTTTCAACATTCTTACCAGCAGTTTTTTTAGTTTTTGGGTGTGTATTGTTGCAGTGTTCGAAATGTTTCAAAAAAAACCTGAAAACCCACAAAACTTGCTCAACTAGTCTTTACATTAAGACTGGTTTTCAGAATGTGTCTCATATGGAGCAGCTTGTGTTTTAAATCAGAAAGTATCATGTATGGGAAGGGATTCAGCAAATGACTGGATTATATGGCTGGATCAAAAGGCTGGATATTAGACTGGTTCTTTCCCCAGAGGGTGTTTGGGTACTGGAACAGCTCCCCAGGGAAGTTGTCACAGCCCCAAACCTGAGAGAGCTCAAGAGGAGTTTGGACAACACTCTCACACATGGTGTGATTCTTGGGGATGTCCTGTGCAGGGCCAGGAGTTGGACTAGGTGATTCTCAAGGGTCCCTTCCAACTCTGATCATTCTGTGATTCTGTGAACTGCTCTGCTCAATACTGTAAGAATTTTCAAGCACGTAAATACACAAAATGAGATTTGACTCTGGACATACTTCCTGGAAATGGAAGCCTATGGGTACATTACTGTATTCTCCACTAGCATGAGGAGATTTGCAAAACTGTTGTTGTACTTGAATTTTCCACTGAAATCAATTGCTATAGATAGTGGCACTTTTCACATTTGTAGTGGCTGTAAACTGGCCCAGTCTCTGTTTTATGTTCACATTCTCTGATGTTGAACTGACTAACACTACTACTGCTATTACTGTTACTTAGATACCATCCTGAGAGGCAGAACTGTCATCCTAGGTTTTCCTAAGTATCCAGGCATTTCAGATGAGTGCCTGGGAAGTACCTGGAAAAAAAAGAAAAAAAGTAGACAGCCATCCTTTGAAAAACAAAACACATTCTGGCTAAGAATCTTAGCAGTGACTGAGCGCAGCAAATAACCATCACATCCATGCAAAGGCAGCTTCTATTTTCTTTCCAATATCTGTTCATGGTTTCCAAATCCTGCAGGTTTTTGGCAATGCAGTGTATCCTATGCAGACTTGCCTAATGATGAGCAGCATCAGTGACTCACTGGCCAGTCCCCAGTGAGTTCATGTGTGCTGAAGGGATGTGTCTGCTTCTGTTTGCTCACTAAGTGGCAGATTGTGAACATCCATTGCTTGCTTTCATTTACAGCTGCTTAATTCAGTTGCCAAGAAAGGTTTCTTAATTAACCAGGAAGCTGTTCAGTGGTAAGATGCTCTTACCAAACATGATCCCTACACCTCAAATGTGACGCTGATTTTACTATAAGTATTGAAGTGTGTGCAATTTGTAAAGCAGTTAAATCCAAACACTTGTCTAGAGTAGTTAAATACTTCTAAATACCCTAAATCCCCCAGCAATGTAAGTCAGAAAAGGTGTGGGTATGTCTGTCAGTTTGGGTCCTAGTGTGCACAGTTCTTGCAGTCTCCAGGCCTCATGATTTAAGCTTCTGACAACTGTTTTAAGTTGCTCTACATGCTGACTCTTGTTTACAATTAAAAAAATTTAGATACTACAAGTTAAATATATAAATACAAATCATGCGTTTGTACTGGATTTCTTACTAGTAAGGTAGCTCAGACAGAAACACGGCAATTTGTGTATATGTTTGTGTATATTTTTTACAGTTTTGCACTTACAGTAGCTTTGTGGTATTGTTTGTATATAGTCTGTTAGTGTAAAGAATATAATCTCATGAAATAGAAACCACTGTTCAAGGGAATTGACTATTTCAACTTGAGTTATTTTGCTTAAAGTTCTTGTCCCCTCAGTATGTCTCTGAGAATTATTTTTAACCATAATTTATATGGCACCAAAAGTGTATATTTTAGCTTAATAAGATGCTGAAAGGCCTGAGTGCAAATAGGTTGTCTGTTAAAATACATTTAATGGAAAACCCCCCCACAAATTTGTAACAATATATAAATAAATATCTTAATTTGTTCCTTGACTTGGTTTTCTCTACCTGTGAATATAAGTGACACAAAAAACACTCTCCTAAAATACCAGAATTAACTGTTAAAGCTTTTTATCTATTTGGCTATAAAGTTGTACCTCAAAAATAAATAAAAAACTTATACTGAAGGAAAAAGAAAGAGTTTTGGAATTGCATGGAGGTCAAAAGATAAGTAAATTAAGGTGACTGATAGAACTGACCCCACCTCTGTTGGGCATCAGCAAAACATTACCTGTATGATCAGATCCCATGGCCCCCCCAGACCTGTTCACACATTGAGTTACTAAGAACATATTCCTTACCTCCACATTCAGTGGAAGTTTTTAAAGCATTTTTAGCTTCCAAACCCTGTGAAGAATGTGAAATAATTAATTCCTTTCAGGATGTTTCACATGTGTTTAGTTGCCAGGATCTGAACAAAGATCTTAGCAAGTTGAGTACTGGGCAGTATTAAATACTGGGACCAGTGCAGTGAGACATGTGACAGGTGTCAATAAAGTTCCACTGTGTTTTGTAGTGGGGGCAGGGGGTGGTCACTGTCTGAGGCCTGGATAACTGTTCTGCCTAACCCTTCTTTTAAGAAGGAAGCTGACTCCCAGTCTGTGTAGCTCCTCTTCCTTTGATTTGTTTTTAAGCAAGACTTCATGTGGATTAACGTCCAAGGAAAGTGTTAAAGAAGATTTTTTCTCATTGCAATACTAAAATGTACCAAGGATAATCCTGATGTCTCCAGGTTAGTCTCAGACTACCAGAAGATGTTAAGACTCCACAGCTGATGACACTCCAGCTAACTGAGAATTTATGGAAAGCCACCAGTATGACATACCAACCCAGAGCAACATGAGTTGATGTCCTTGAACTCTGTTCCTAATTGAGGATGACCAAGATTCAAGTGTTCCTTTTCCTTTTTTTTTCACTAATTTTTGTTAGCAACCTTTGACATGTGATACGAAGTTATGAGTTTTCTCTGCCAATTGATATTTCTAGCAAATAGTGGTTTAAACCATCTGGTGTTATCAGAGATTATAAAGGACTTCATAAAACTGCCTTTTTGTGGCAGATAATTGAGGTTTCAAAGCTGTTTTGTTCCAAAGCAGAGTGATTAGGTGAAAGCAGAACTTACTGAAGGGCAACAAAGAAGTATTTATGGCCCTGCAGGCAAAGAAGCAATTCAAGCTCCTTAGATGTTTGTCATGAGGATTTGTGAGATAGTTGTCAGTAGTGTAGTTCTGT